TATATATATATATATATATATATATATAATATATATATATATATATATATATATATATATATATATAATATATATATATATATATATATATATATATATATATATATATATATATATATATATATATATATATATATATATATATATATATATATATATATATATATATATATATATATATATATATATATATATATATATATATATATATATATAAATATATATATATATATGTATATATATACACACACACACACATATATATATATAATTCAGTAAGCGCCCCTTGCCACACAGCGATAAGTTTTTTTTTATTTGTGAGCAAAATACAACGCATATTTTAAAAACATTTTAATTTTAAGCAAAAGGTATTGAAGAAATATCATGGAAAATAAAGTTAATGATATTGTAGCAACATACCTAAAAAAATTACACACATAAAGCAGTTTTATGGTTAATTTTATGTGACATTAAACAGATAAGAATATTAAACTTAAAAACTCAGAAAATAAATAGTTGATGATAAAAAATATTTTGTGTATATAAATGCCTTGAACATGAATTTAGTATTGATATAAATTACTTTTTTAAAATATATAATCTCTATGTGAAAAATGTCTATGTGAAAACTGCATGGAAATTTTTGCTTATTACTTAAAGCGTTATGTATCAGCTATAATAGTTCATGGTGGTTAGATAACCTCTGTTGGTCACAGTCACCTAATTTATCTTGTTGACTTGGAAACTGTCTGTGATGCAAAGACAAAGTCTGTCAAAAATGTAAATCCAACACTGCAGGTTATATGGCAGCAGTTGACCAAAGATAATTAGACATCTTCAATTATAACCAAAAAATAGATGCAAATGAGAAGTAAGAGAGGAATTACTATTAATTTCTCTAAATTTTAGAAACATGTTATTAATAAAAAAGTTTAAGAAGCAGAATTTAAAAACAACAAAGGCACTGCAAGAAAAAGAACTGATCAGGTGGGTTTTGCGAAGGCATATGTTTGTAAATATCAAAATGAAGTACAAAGTACACTGTGAAGTAGAAGCACTGTTCAATTGTTAACAGGTGCTGTTTTCAACAATAATAATTGCAAAACATATCTTACCTGTTAAGGCACTGGAAACAAGGGCAAAAATGTTTACTTCTTTACTGGAAATTATATGAAAACTGTAATACTGATACTGAAACTGTTTTCACTGATGGCCTATCATCAGAATTTAAAAATAAGTTTATGGTAAAACTACTCCATGAATTATCTTTGCAATATAATAAAACATTTGAATAGAAACATTTTGCAAGTTCCCATGAAAATGGTGTTGTAGATGGTGTGGGAATGATAGTCAAGTCTCTTGTCCAAATGAAATGTATGAGCAAGAATGAGAAAGTGTCTTTATAAACGCCTAGGGATTTTTTTTAATATTCTAAAACCATTAATAACTAATATTTAATTTAGTTAATTATCAAATTTTTAGTTTTGTACATGCCATACACATAATGCAACTAACTAGTTCTTTTACTAATATAAGCAATAAACATATTATAAAAAGAAATATTAATTTCCATTATATCTTAAGAATGTTTACAAGATGCCAATATTATATATATATATATACATATATATATATATATATATATATATATATATATATATATATAGTATATACTATATATATATATATATATATATATATATATATATATATATATATACATATAATATATATAGATATACAAATATATATATATATATATATATATATATATATATATATATATATATATATATATATATATATATATATATATATATATATATATACATATATATATATATATATACATGTATATATATATATATATATATATATATATATGCTAAATTCTATATATATATATATATATATATATATATATATATATATATATATATATATATATATATATATATATATATATATATGTATATATATATATATATATATATATATATATATATATATATATATATATATATATATATTATATATATATATATATATATATATATATTTAAATTCTGGATCCATTTTAGCTGCGTTACGATTTTTTAAAGCTTTCTTTCACTTACCTATAGAATCAAAGTTTTTTAAACGAGTTTTTTTTTTCTTTGATGTTAATGACAAAATGCATCTATTATTTTCATTAATACAGCTCAAGCTGCCATCAGTTTTAGTTGGCAAATAAATAGACATTTATTGTTAACAAATGCAATCTATACTTACTTTATTATTTTTTATCCATAAAATAAATCAATATATTAGTCTGGACGTGTAACTATATATATTAGTCTACGTGTAACTTTTTCTTGGAAATTACAAAAACTGCTTAAATAGTTTAACATTGATATCTTGAATGACGTACCTTTCTGAAAGTGCTTAAAGGGCCTTCTTTGGTGCTGATGACGTCATTTTAACATTTAAAAAAAAATCAAACTAAATAATACATATTTACGTCAAAAGTTAGATAAACTCTTAAGAAAACCTTATAATAAATAATATTATAAGGTACTGATGACGTCATGCTGGTATACTTTTTTTATCAAACTAAAAAATAAATATTTACCTCAAACGTTAGATAATCTCTTGACAAAACCTTATAATAAATAATAAAATCTTTAGAAAAACTTACGAGCAATTCTAATAAGGCTTAAAGGGTCAAAATCGGGCCCTTATTTGGTACTGATGAGGTCACGTTAATAATTTTTTTAAATTTCGAGAAAAAAAAATTTAGTGAAGAGATTTTTAAAAGGGAAAATTCGAATCACTTGAATAATATTTTGTTTAGGTGTCGTCCCAATCATTTGTGGTTTCACAAGACGAACAGTTCTGTACAAGTCAACCATGCAATCAACCCGTGTTTCACATTTTGACTTTTTACACGAACAGGAATTAACTGCAAAACATCTTCTGGAGCAGGTCTAATGAGCATCAATTTAACCTCAAGTTGATTGCCAATTTCTCGCCATCCATATCCATTGAGTTTTGGAATATCGAGATTGGCCTCCAATGATTGTTTGACAATCATTGGAGGCAAATCTCGATATTCCAAAATTTTGCTGTTTGATACGAAACTCTCTTGCAGTAACACATAAGAGCATCCCTAGTTGGCAGAAACTTTTAAGGTTCCGGAACTTCCTCTTGGCAATAAACTTAAGGTATCTTCCTTCGTTCGCATCACTGCATTATAATTTTTATAATTGACAAATAAACTTTTCGATTTGGTTAAAGTGGGTTACATTAAAGGTATAAGAGTCCCCAACCTTGAAAAAAATTGACTTGTACTCTTCAGACTGTCTCATTAGTTTGAGGAACTTTGACTTACCAATCCCGTAAAATGCACTTGTATAATTGTTCCCGCTAAATACATGAAGAGCAAGAAGAGCTTACAACAATCAGTACCTAACTGTGAGGCAATAAGATTTATATCAAGAGTCCGTCTTTCAGTAGAGACGCCACAAATAATTCTATTTGAAGTTGGTTTTGAAAGTACAAAGCGTAATTAGCGGGTCAGGGCAATAACATCCGTTTTTGCCATGTGTATTAACATCCGTGAAACAACATCCGAAATTTCATCGATGTATAATAACATCCGTGCAACAACATCCCAAATTTCATTGATGTATAATACCATCCGTGCAACTACATCTGTAAATTTTTCGGATGTAGCTACATCCGAATTTTTTTTTTTTTTTAAATGCGTAATTTTAACCAGATGTAGTTACGCATCTGATTTTTTAGAATGTAACTACATCCGCCAAAAAAAAATTATTTTAATGCATTATTTTAACCAGATGTAGTTACACATCTGACTTTTTTCGGATGTAACTACATCCGCCAAAAAAAATTATTATAATGCATTATTTTAAGGATAATAATTTTTTTTTAATTATTTGATAGACTGCCTGCCCAAATCAAACCCTCAGTCAATGTAGCAGCACTCCGTTGCGAGTCAGCACTCCGTTGCGAGTCAGCACTCCGTTGCTATTTGTCAGTCGATGTAGCAGCACATATACAATATAATAATTATATATGTAACTTATATATGTAACTACATCCGGAATTTTTTTTTAATAATGCATTATTTTAACCAGATGTAGTTACAATTCTGATTTTTTTCGGATGTAGCTACATCCGGGAAAAAAGTAATTTAAAATGCATTATTTTAACCAGATGTAATTGCACATCTGATTTTTTTCGGATGTAACTACGTCCGGAAATTTATTTTATTTTATTTTTAATAATGTATAATTTTAGGCGGATATAGTTACACATCGAGAAAAACTCTCGGATGCAGTTACCTCTTTCTAAAGATGTTATTAGATTCAATAAAATTTCGGATGTTGTTGCACAGATGTTAATTCAGTAAAGAAAATAAGCAGATCATCTTACACAAAAATGTGCGAAATTTCACTACTCCACGGATGTTGTTGGACAAATGTAGTAATCTTTTCCCTAATTAGTAATGTCTGTATCAACCGTGCGAATACAAACGGTTTCGAAACCAATAGATGCATTATATGTATGCAGTTTAAAGAATGTTTTTTTTAAAGACAAAACCTCGCTGCGAATCTCTTGTGTGACATGATGGATAAGCTGTTCAATCAGTTTTGGATTATTCTTTTTTTCTAAATTCTCAATCTTTTTAAAAAAAACTTCAACGATTTTCCCCTTCTCAATGGTATTGCTGCATAAGAAAGAACACCCTATTTTGGTGACCACAACTGAACAGACCCGCAAGTTCTGCAACTACAGCATCCTGCAAAGTCCTTTTATCTAGAATCTTTGCTGTATCTGTGCAGTTTTCCTCCTAAAATTCAAATAGCTTACTTGCCTGAGTAATCTCTAAGTTGTCTAATACGTGTTCTTTCACATAGTCGAAGAGCAAACGCATAATTGCATCTTCTGTTAAAATAAAAGGAACTTTTTGGGGTCTTGTATAGTTACGGTAACAAGACCAATGATAATATAACTCTAAGGAAACTATGGTTTGCCCAATATACTAGCTGGGTTTACACCTTTACTTAAGCGTTTTCTTTTAACATGTTTGCTGCACTTTCTTTACAAATTTTGTCCAGTAGGCACGGACGTAAAAAAGACGTTTTTAAACGTCTTACATTCGTTTTGGACCTCTTTTGAACGTCTTTTGAACGTTCAAAAGACGTCTTTTTTAGGTCCGATGCCGATTGGGTGTAAGCGTTTTATATCCGTTCCTATATTTATTAGTCTTTTTTGCAATAGCAAATGCAACACTCTTCATCCGCAATAATTTTTCCTAAAACAAAGTAATTATTTTAATTTTGAAGTAATACATAAAACAGAAAAAAAACGTATTCTTTGCTTTGCATATCACACTCAAGGGTTTTTTAGTTTACCTGATCTATCTCTTTTCCGAGCTGAGATTCTGCGCTTAAATGAGAATACATTATCCACGCCTACACTCTCGTTGACTTTTTCTGCTCTGTTTTTCCGATGTTAAAATGTTTAATGTTTTTATTTTTTTTTAGGGACCATATTAAAATGCTGCATTTTTTGGCTACTCGCCATTATTTAGTTTAATAATAATAAATAAATAAAAATAAAACACGTTTTTTTTTAGTTTTATGTTTTATATTTTTGCAACAACCGTTTCTTTTAAAATGATTGCAGTTTGTTATGCAAATATTTTGTTTTATTTATAAAAATGACTTTGCTTTTTTTCTTTTATTTATGACGGTAATTCTTTACTTTTAAAAGGAACTTCGATAACATAAAATTAAGTAAACAGTTTTTGAAAAGTAAACATTTTATAACGTAAACAAAGAACGGGAACATTGTTTAGATTTATTAAATTAAAATTATTTTATATTTTTAATACAATATTAAAAATACTTAGCGATATTGAACTTATAAACAACATGGCGGATATATTATATTTAAAATTTTTTCATTAAGCTGCATCAATTTTTTTCTCTAACTTAAGTTATAAGCACTTTCCAAGTGGCACGTAAAAATTTTTAAACTACTTAAGTTATAAGGAACAAGTCTATATAAAAAACAGAATGTCCACTCAAAATGTTTAGTTTTCCTTTTTTTTTTACATGTAGCGACCAGACTATATCAACAGGTAAGCAGAAGATAGTATGGCTCAAAATGAGGCTTTTTAGCTTTCAAAAAATACAGACCAGATATTATATTGATATAGTGAGAACATGCAAGGGAGTACTGCTAATTCGACTGATTTAGATAGAAGATGCAAGGGGTTGTTGTTAAATTGACTGAGGGTTTGGATTGGGGCTGTTATAAATCAATCAATGTAGTAGCACGAGGGCCGCTGAGAGCTGTCACGCCGCTAGGGACAGCCACCCTGATTGGCCCCCTTATTTATCTAAGTTTCTCTATAATATGGATAAAGGACTTTTTTTTATTATTTTAGGTACTTTCTTTTACCCCTTAAACACCTGCCGCCCGGAACTAACTGTCTTTTTTGCCCCCTCCCACTCAGTGACCCTGAGTAGCACTCTTACATTTGTCACAAAACAATATGATATCTGGTCTGCGCTTTTTTAAAAACATAAAACTGCATTTTGAGCCACACTATCTTCTGCTTACCATATCAACATGATGTCCAGCATAGGTGGCCGCTGCGGTGCCCGGGTTTCGGAAAGACCAACCAGCAATATTTAATTTTTTAATAATTAATTTAAAAATATATTTTTTAAATGAAATATGAAAATTAAAAAAAAGTTAGAACACATTTTTTTTTTCTATTTTTAAATTTTGAATCTATACGTATAGATTCAAGATTTATGTATATTTGTAGGGGAAAGCGGGGCAACATGGCGAATGGGGCAAGATGGGTTTTCATATAACAACTCAACATAAAATCTTAAAATTGGGTTAAAACGAAACTGTATTTGCATCTTGTATTTTGAAACACCGATTGGTTTTTTAAAATTTTATTAACGCAATTTTATACACATAAGTTTACTTTTTGCGCTTAAAAAAAATTCCTCACTTTCGGTTTCTCATTATGGATGGATGGATGGTGCCCTTCAAGTTTTACGTCTTTAGAAGTAGTTTTTTGCAACTTGTGTTTGTTTTTTGTTACTTTAGTAAGAGTTATTAGTAGTTTTTAAAATTTTATAAAATTGGAGGTAAAAATTGCATAATAAGTCATCTTGCCACGGTCACGTGACCAGATATGAATATTTTATTTTAGTATTTATTTCAAATTGTTATATTGAAATTTCATGCAGGAATTAAAAGATTTTAATAACATGAGCATACTAAGTAAGTATTATTGCATAGCGACTGATTTGCAATAACTTAGGGCTTTCAAAACGTTCGTCATGTTGCCCCGCTTTTTCCTATATACAAGATTTTAAAAAAATTGTCTGCTGCATTGTTTACGCAAGG